GCTAGTAAGAACTTAAACACAGTGATTCATACAGTAGTTCCATTCAGGTTTTGCAAAGTTCTGACTGGCTTTATTCTGCTATCTCCTGGCCCCTCACCTCTTGACTTTCTTTTGTCCCTAGTTTATTTGTGATGCCTCTTCACTGCATCAAGTGAGGAAGAAGCTGGACTCCCTGGGCTTGTATTCGGTGTCCTGTTCACTAGAATTCATCCCCAATGCAAAGGTGCAGCTGGCTGACCCCGACCTGGAGCAGGCCGCCCTTCTCATCCAGGCTCTTGGCAGCCATGAGGACGTGATCCAGGTCTATGACAACATTGAGTAACCAGGCTCTGTGTGCCCCCGGAGGCCTTCCTAGGCAACTCGCAGCTCATTCTGGAGCACAGGCTTCTGCAGCGACTCTGAGACTGAAGCAGATTGGAGGCCTAGCAGGTTAGGAGGCATAAAACCAAGACCTGCAGCTTTTTGGCCAAGGGAATCACCATCTCTGTGGGGCCTCTTTGTCAGCTCTGCTGGTGTCTCAGAGCCCTCCTGGCTACAGGGTGGAGCCAGCCAGCTAACCAGACTCCCTGATCTTAGTAAGTTGTCCCTTGTGGGCATGGCAAGTGCCCTGAGGGCCTTTGTACTAGAAATTGCTCTTAAATAATGTAACTGATCTGAGTTGCTATACTCCTGTTGTGTGACTCTTGAGTTTCCTGGGTTTTTGTCCAGCTGTGGGGATGCTCTTGACTTCCTTTGAAGTCTATAGGTTGAGTTCCACTACTCCAGTCCCAGGCCTTTTTTTTTTTTTTTTTTTTTTTTCCAGACCAAAGAAATGTAGCTCTCTACAGGCACCACTCTGTACTCTAATGCTGGTCTGGTGGCCTAAGCCTGTCATTAATCATGCAGATAGTATTTGTCAAAATACCTGTGTATCAGGAACTGTACTTAACCAGGAGCACAAGCTGTTTAGTTGGTGCCGTTAGATCCTGCTCTAAGACATAGGACCTCAGAGGTCAGACACAAGACTGCCGTCTGCTGCAACTACCCTAGGGCAGTGTGAACTGCTGTGCACGTGTCCGTGTTCTCTTCTTGTGGCCTCTGTGCCCTCCTTCGCCAGACAGCTTAAGGCTCTAACACAGTAGGAAATCAAGTGCCAATGATAAGGGACTCCCAGGCCCTGCTTCACACAGGCCCCATGTGTTCTGAGATTGGTCAGAGCAGACCTGTCAGCAGATTGGACTGCTCTCAGGAAAGGCTACGCCAAGCTGGCTTTGAAAGCTACTTGATCGCCAGAATGCCCACCCTAGCTCCTTTTCATCCCTGCTGCCAAATGATGCGGCACTGGGAACTGGAGAGGAAATGAGAGTAGAAGGAGGGTGAAGGACTGAGTCAGAGCCTGGCCAGCTGGGAAAGAGGACCCTTCATACCTTTGGCTCCTAAGTGTCACTTTTGGGTTTAGAGAGACCAGGAGTGCCAGTCACCTGTGCCGGGGCCCGTCACACGTCAGGCCTGGAGTGGCTTTTTGATCATTTATTCTCCCTTAATTCGTTCTGTACTAGGCAGGACCCAGAAGACTTGTTCATCAGGTGGAGAAGGGGCCCTTTGTCCCATTTTTCCCTTCTAGAGCCATATGATGTCCAGGTCTTACAATGTAGCACCAAGACTGGAATCTTAAATGATGAGCAACGTCTTTGCATCCACTAAACTGCAATCAGGGCAGAAAGAAGGGGATGGAGATATGTTTGGATTTTTCCCTTGCCTGGTGGTAGCTACATATTCTCCTTCAGAAGTATGTATGTCTATATTCCAAAGGCTGGGTGAGAAATGGCTTTTTGATCCCTGTTATTCACCTACTCATAAGTCGTGTAAGCCAGTTCTGAGGTCGGAGTAATTTTCCTGAAGGAGCTTCAGGTAAATGAGGAGAACAAAAACCAAATTGGCTGGCTATAAATATTCAGCTTCTGGGAAAAACAGATTACTAATTCCATGATGACTTTAACAGTTGGAGAGCAAAGGCTAAGGAAAGAAAAACCAATGAAATAACCCACGAAATGCCAAAGCATATCTCTTATACCTAATTTCATAATCATGATACCACCTGGCATTCTTTAGTTTTTTTTTTTAAGATTTATTTATTTGTGAGCAAGCGAGCAGGGGGAGGAGCAGAGGGAGAGAGAGAATCCCAAGCAGGCTCCACACTCAGCGCTGAGCCCAAGGCAGGGCTCGATCTTACAACCCTGAGATTATGACCTGAGCTGAAATCAAGAGTTGGATGCTTAACCAACTGAGCCACCCAGGTGCCCCACATTCTTTAGTTTTTAAAGGAGATAACTCATCCAAATAGTGCACTTTAAAGTTTAAGTACTGCTTTGTAATTTATAAGATACTTTTACATGTTATTTATTTTATTTTCACAGCAAACCTATAAAATAATCAGGCCAAGTATTTTATGCACAAATGGTCTCATAGCCAAGCAGGTGAGAAGAGGTCTCATACTACACCTTACGTTGATAGACCTTGGTTTATAAAAATAGCTGTTTTGTAAATGTTGAATATAATTATAATTTGGAAGAATCTGATAATTTCTGATCTGAGAAATCTACACCAGGAGAGTCTGCTCTGGAAGGGAACTTGGCTATTCATGTGAATAGTCCTCTGATTAATAGATAGGATTTGCTAATAAGGATTTTTGTGTAACCAGTTTTCTTACAGCAAGGCTTTGAATGGCTCTGCACTGACCCCTGGTGGTGCCTTGCAGTCTTTCCTGTGGCTAATATGGGAAAAGCAGAAATGAAGCCTTATTTGGACCTGTTCTGCCTCTAGGTCTGCTAAAGAGACCCTTAGCTACATAGGTTAAATAGTTAAGTAACTGTTTAACTGAATAGTTAAGTAGAGAGGATATGCATTCTGCCACTAAAAATTATTTTTTGAAGAATATTTTATGTCAGGAAATGTTTACAATGTAAAGTGGAAAACAAAGATGTAAAGCTATGTGTATAATATGGTCCAAATTTTAAAAATATAGTCATACTTTATGAACTCTAAAAGAAAAAGACTAGAAGGAAGTGTATCAGAATCTCAAAACTGGTTATCTCTGGGTGGTGATATTATCACTGAGTTTTATTTTCTATAATCATATATTTTATCAGGGGAAACATTTTTAAAAAAAGAAAACTAGTCACATTATTGTCCAGCTAGGGCGACAGCCGGTGAGAGGCCAGGAATCAGGCATACCTTAAACTCCAAAGAATGAGATCTGGTCTTGGCTTGGCCTTATCTTTGGTCATTGTCTTAGCAGACAAAATCATTCAATGCTTTGCAGCTGGCTTCAGCTCACTTTCAAGTGACCTTTCCATGGGATGGGAGTATTTGTGACAGGTTCCGTCCATAACCTTGACTCTCACAAGAAGCGTTCATGTGGTATGTAGCCACCTTCCCTCTGCCAGAGGCCCCAGCTAAATCGAACAGGAACCATGAAGGCTCTGCTTCCAGCCCACAATGGAAATTCAGCCATGGCCTGAGTTACTCTTTGTTTTGTATGGTTTTGTTTTACTCTCTGAAACTTACAGCACAACAGTCAATAAAACTTCACACTCGAAGAAACCCCAACTTGTAGACTTTTATTTGAATCCCTGGGGACTCCTCTGGAGCCATTCTGAAGAGGAAATAAATGAGCCAGTAGGTCTGGCAAGAGCGAATGTTATGATAGATACCACGCTAGTCTTGCCCGGAACCGCTTTCTCCCCCTTATGCCCTCCCCAGACGCTGAACAGGATAGTAGTTTTTGCTTTTCCTCTTTTTGTCTTTCTTTTGTCCATGTGAAAGAGGTCTGTGTTTTTTGAATGAATAAGTGACCCTCAAATGGGGGGATTCCCTACCCCCTTCCTCCTAAGATATAACCACCATTAACAATCTACTCTGTAGTATTTTACTCCGTGGAACCAATCTGCTGGGGAACAGATTTCAACTCTGCCAATTGCCAGCAACCTTGGACAAAAATTTAACCTCTTTGCACCTATTTCCTCGTCTATAAAATGAGGACAATAGTACCTATATCGTAGGACTATTTTAACAAGTAAGTAAGTTAACATACATTAAGCACTTAAAACAGTGCCTGGCAATGGTAAGTGCTCAATAAATGTTGGCCTTTCCCCCACCCCCACTAAGTATGAATGAACATTTTTTAAAACTGAAATGTGATCACCTTCTACATTTCTGCTTTATAAGTTGTTTTTTTTTCATTTCACAATGTATCCTGGATGCTGTAATGAACATTACTTACCTTTGCTCACTTGCCTAGTGTTCCTTAGGATAAATTTATAGAAATGGAATTTCTAAATGAAAAGCAATTTTTCCCTATTAATGTCAATAATATGTAAAATATCATGGTTGTAAACATTTCTCTGAGGTAGACATCATTCCCTAATAATGTAGATGAAATAACTGGTTGAACTAGTGATCTGAATATATTCTTTACCTCTGAATTAAAAGGACTTTCATTAGGGGCACCTGGGTGGCTCAGTTGGTTAAGTGTCTGCCTTCAGTTCAGGTCATGATCTGAACTGATGATTGAGCCTTGCATTGGGCTCCCTGCGCAGTGGGGAGTCTGCTTCTCCCTCTGCCCCCACCCCCCACTCATGCTCACTCTTTCTTCTCAAATAAAAATAAAGAAAATCTTAAAAAAAAAAAGAATTTTCATCAAATCAGGTGGTAGCTTTGTTGGTTTTTTCTTTTCTTTTTTTTTTTTCAGAGAGCATGCACCATAAGCAGGGGTGGCGGGCAGAGGGAGAGAGAAAGAGAATCTTAAGCAGGCTCCACACCCAGCTTGGAGCCTGACACAGGGCTCAGTCTTGACCCTGAGATCATGACCTGAGCCAAAATCAAGAGTCTGACCCTTAACCAACTGAGCCACCCAAGCACCCCTTGTTTTCTGGTTTAATACCAAATTCATTGAGCTATCCCTGAAAAGAATTCATTCATGTTTATTATTCCCTATCTCGTGTCCAAGTGTCCCTATGCTCTTGAAAGAAAAAAGGAAAATGTTCAGCTGGTATATCAGGCTGCCTGAAGCCCTGAGCATTAGGGGCAGGTTGTGATCCTTGGGATCAGGTATGACTCAGGTACTTAACCAGGGGCATCTACTCAGTGTGAAACCGGGGGAACAGACTTGAGAAGGCATGGCCCAGATGGGAGGCTTCACATGGGGAAAATGAAGAGTGAGGAGAGAAACAATACAGAAAGAAAAAAATAAACTAAAAGGGCACACTTGTGGAGATTACATTCAACTACTAACATCCCCAGTTGAGGTTCACTTACTCAAGAAAATGTTTTTTATTTTTTTAAATAATTTTTTATTGTTATCTTAATCACCATACATTACATCATTAGTTTTTGATGTAGTGTTCCAAGGAAAATGTTTTTTAAATGAAATGCTTGTTTTTCAATTGTACTGTGAAAAATGCTAGGCATACCAATTTGAATGACAGCTTCTGTCTCTATGCTTACTTCCTTAAAGGCAGTTACAACAGAGTGGGATAGGTGCTTTGATGAAGAAAGTACTAGGTGATCTGGTACCCAGAATTGTATTTGTCTGAAGGGTTTCATGGAGGGAGTGATGTTCAGGCTTAGTTCTTTCCTGAAAGAATGGGGGTGGGGGGAAGAGTGGAGGAGAAGAGTGTTTAAAACAAAATAGCAGATGCAGAGGTATAGAGGCGAGATGAACTCCAGTGGTTCCGTGTGGCCAGAACATAGAATTTGAGTGATGGGGTTGGCAGAGGTGGGACATGGAAAAGCTTGTGGCTGGAGAGGCATAGC